CCCCAAGGAACAGCCCCCAAAGCCCAGGAAGCGGGTGCTCCAGCCCCTCTTGTCCCTGGGCATCCTTGGAAGCCCCGGACGCTATTCCTGAGGCAGACATAATGCCTGCCCCCAACTGACAGCTGCCCAAAGCCAGACACTGACCAAAGCTCAGAGGTGTACAAGCCAGGAGCCCCATGTGTGCCGTCTTCCTTGGACCTGAAACTGCAGTAGGAAATGAGCTGGGAAGGCTGAGGACGGAGAGGCTGACCACCAGCAGGGCTTAGTAAGCACCTGAGCTTCCAGGTGTGGGCCAGGAACGGCATGGACATTGCTCCGGGCCCTGCAGGCTGGCTGGGCGAGCGAGGCACCCTCGGGAGAATGAGGCAGAATAGGGATCCTGGGGTCCCAGGGGTGAAAAGACAGTACCTGGTTCTGGGTGCCGGTGAGAAAACTCCCGGACCCTGCCAGCCCCTTCCCATCCCCTGGGCACCACCTGCCCTCCTCCTTCAGAGGACTTCACTAGTCTCAGCACCCACTGGCCCCAAAGCCAGGGACGGGAAATGACCAGCAGGCCTGGAACATAGCCCTCAGCTGGGCTGGAGGCAGATGGGATCTGGAGAGGCCTCCCCCACTACAAAGGGCAGTGCCCTGCACCCAGTAGGGGTTTTACAAAGCTGTGGAAGGCCCCCAGAAGCTGGCAGGAGCCCGGGGGAAGGATTCCACCCAACAAGAATACCCGCTTATTTAAATTCTCTTAGGTCAGGGCCCCTTGCTTTAACCTGAAATGTATCTGCACAGCTTATAGGAACTGTCGTGGGAGCCATGGCTGAGCATTCCAGTGAGGGTGACCTTCATTCGAGCGATCCACGTGGACCAGGGCTCCCATGTTTGGAGGAATAAAAACACTGCCTCAGTCTGCCCTGAAAGGGCTTGGCTCTGCTCGTGCGGGCCAGGCCCCTAGAGGGTGGGGGGCCTCGAGGTGCTCCCCACCCCCATAGAAGAACCCAAATACACTACGGAGGAGGGGGGAAGCTAGGCCCAGGTGCCTCCTGGCTCCCTGGGGGAAGAAGCATCAGGGCTGGCCTTGCCCCGGAGGCACTCGAAGGCCGGCTCCTTTGGGTGGCCCACCCTCCAACCCCTGCCAGTGAAAGAATGGTCTTGGAAGCCAGACTGGGACTTGGGGGGCCCTGGGACCCCTCCCCAGATGGTGGCCGGACGCGCTCTTTCAGAGCACCTCACCTGACAATCACCCAGTGCGATATTTTACTCTAGGTGCTCTTCTGGAAACACTGGGGAAAAGGGCATTCAGAGAAGACCAAGAGGGGCATATGGGAGAAGGCAGGCAGACTCAGGGCACAGCCAGGTCCCCAGGCTACCAGACAGGCCAGCCTGGGGATGGACAGTGGCGTATCTACACTATACTGGGCAGGTGGAAGGGTGTCTTCCGCTGGGTCCTGGCCCAGGCATCTGGGCCACCTTCCTCCAGAGTTGGCCACAGCGAGGTCTGGGCCAGGAATGGAGCTGCCACGGTCTGCAGGGTCCCCCACTTTTCTCATTCATGGAGCAGAGACAAGCTCAGGGCATGAAAGGCCAGGGAAGCAGCAGCGACAAGCTCCTCTGTGCTCAGAGGGGCTCTTCTCTTTAAGGCAGGTTAGATTAGACTAGAAGAAGCCCCCTTTCCACCCTAGACCTGCTGCTTCCAGGAGCACACGGGGAGCCTGGGTGCTGACCTCCCTCCATGACAGACATACAGAGGATGGAGGGCTCCGTGGCAAAAGCAAACTCTTTTACTCAGGCTGTCTCTGAGCTGCCAATGCAGGTATTTAGTTTAGGGAACACAAATTCTTCACATTTCCATCTGTCCACCCAAACATCCACCCATCTTCTTCCCCTGGGGAGCCAGGAGGCACCTGGGCTTAGCTTCCCTGCCCCCATACTGTGTTTGGGTTCTTTTATGGGGGTCAGGGAGCTCTGTCCAGCCTGGGGGCACCCAGGTGGAGTCCATCCATCCACCCACCCGCCCACCCATCCACCCACCCACCCACCCACCCACCCATCCATCCATCCATCCATCCATCCCTGTACCAACAGCCTGGCACACTTCACAGCTGCTATCCCTGCTTCCTACAGAAGGTGGCACACCCATTTCAAACTGATTCCTCGGCAGGCTCCCAGTGTCCAAAGAGCTCTCATCCCTGCACGGCTGCTGGGGCACAGGGCCCCCCTCATCCTGCCTCCTTTGGCTCAGGAGGGTTCCCTCTTTACTGGTTTCCTAATTTCTCTGGGGGGGTCTTCTTTTTTGTTGGCCTCGCTTGTTTGCTTGGCTGGCACCTCGGGAAAGACAGGCTGATATCTGTAGGAATAACCATAGGGACGCAGGTGATGCACGAGGTACTCCAGCTGATACATAGTGGTAGAGTCAACATAGTGGAAGGAAACTGCGAGGTCTGAACAGCAACCTGGGCCCTGGAGAAGAAAGAAGAGAAACGAGGTGGAGCATTCAGAACAAAGGAGATGCTTCACACACCTGCATGGGTGACAAGGATGAAGGACTATCAAAGAGGAGGCTGGAAAGTGGCGCCCTAATGCACTGTTGGTGGAGTTGTGAACTGCTCCAGCCATTCTGGAGAGCAATGTGGAACGATGCCCCAAGGGCTATAAAACTGTGATACCCTTTGACTCAGCAATGGCAATGCTAGGTCTGCATCCCAAGGAGATCGTACAAATGGGAAAAGGACCCACATGTACAAAAATATTTACAGCAGCTTTTTGTGGGGGCAAAGAATTGGAAACTGAGAGTCTGCCCATCCACTGGGGAATGGCTGAACAAGCTGTGGTATATGAATGTAATGGATTATTATTGTGCTATAAGAAATGATGAGCAGCCATTTCTAAAATATATAGAGAATTAAGTCAAATTTATAAGAATACAAGCCATTCCCCAATTGATATGTGGTTGAAGGATATGAACAGACAGTTCTCAGATGAAGAAATTAAAGCCATCTAGAGTCATATGAAAAAATGCTCTAAATCACTATTGATTAGAGAAATGCAAATCAAAACAACTCTGAGGTACCACATCACACCTATCAGATTGGCCAACATGACAAAACAGGAAAATGATAAATGTTGGAGAAGATGTGGGAAAATTGGAACACTAATGCATGGTTGGTGGAGTTGTGAAATGATCCAACCATTCTGGAGAGCAATTTGGAACTATGCCCAAAGGGCTATAAAAATGTGCACACCCTTTGACCCAGCAATTGCACTTCTAGGGCTATATCCCAAAGAGATCACACAAACAGGAAAAGGACCTACGTGTGCAAAAATATTCATAGCAGCTCTTTCTATGGTAGCAAAGAATTGGAAATTGAGAGGATGCCCATCAATTTAACAAGTTGTGGTATATGAATGCGATGGAATACTATTGTGCTATAAGAAATGATGAACAGGCTGACTTCAGAAAAACCTGGAAAGATTTGTATGGTCTGATCCTGAGTGAAGTGAGCAGAACCAAGAGAACACTATACACAATAACAGCCATATTGTGTGATGACTAATATTGATAAACTTAACCCTTGCCGGCAATACAAGGATCTAAGACATCTCCAGAGGCCTTGTGATGGAAAATGCTATCCACACCCAAAGAAAGAACTATGGAAGCCAAATTGTTATTTTTTTTCTCTTCTGTTGAGTACAACATCACTAATGCGAAAATGTATTTAATATGAATGTAAACGTATAGCCTATGACAGATTGTGTGCCGTCTTGGGGAGGGTGGTGGGAAAAGGGAGACAAATTTTAAACTCAAAAGCATATGGAAGTGATTATTGATAAATCAAAATAAATTAATAAAAAAAAAAGAAAAAAAGAAATGATGAGCAGGATGATTTCGGAAAAACCTGGAAAGACTTAGGAACTGATGCATAGTGAAGTGAGCAGAACCAGGGGAATGGTGTACACAGTAACAGCCACATTGTGCGATGAAGAACTGGGGATGACTTAGCTCTTCTCAGCAAAACAATGATCCAGGACAATCCCAAAGGATTCATGATGAAACATGCTATCCACCTCCAGAGAAGGAACTGATATTGTTTGAATACGGACCAAAGCATGCTGTTTCTCACTTCCTTTTTTTTTTTTTTAAATGCAGTTAAGATTTATTTGAGGCACTAGAGCTTAGTACAAAAAACAGTTTATCTACAATACTGTTGCAGGGGTTGGCAGAGAAAGAAGAAACACTGTGTCCCCCATTTCCTCCCCACCAAAACCTAGGGAGCTCACCCTCTACTACTACAGAAGGGTTATTATACTCTACCAGCCTCTATGCCACCTGGTTCAATGAGCAAAGTGTAATTTCTACAAGAGCAGAAGGGTTCGTGGAAAGACAATCACGGGTTATGGTCTGAGTCACTCACGGATGAGGTCTAGAGACGCTACATTCCTACTTCCTGTTTAAATCCTGACCCTGGGGATGAGAGGGGAAGGTCCATTTCCCCTATCACTTACTAACCAAAACCAAGCCTGGGCAGCTGGCTTCTCTAAGCTGAAGGAATGATCAGGAAGTGTCATGACCCCACTGGCCAAGAATCATCTAGCTTTCTAACACAGAATCTCAGAACTGGGCAAGGCTCCTATGGGCCATGGCTGCAGTCTGTCTTCTCTGACTCACTAGAGGTCTGGCCAGATGAAAGAAAGGGTGCCACAAGCCACGTGAGGGGCATTGTGAGTGCCGTGCTAAGTCGTCTCATCAGGGACTCTCGGGCCTTGCTGACCCGCTCTCTACTCTGGGTCAGGACGCTGCTGGAGGTCCTGGAAAGGCAGGGCTCCTGAAAAGGAGGCCTGAAGGGCCCGGCACCCTGGGGGGAGCCTGGGGACAGGCTGTGAGCAGTATCCTGAAGCTGCTAGATGACGTCCTGGAATGCGGTGGGGCGACAAGACTCGGCGGGCTCAGGCGTAGCAGCTCCCCTGTGGGGTTTGGGGGCCTCCTTGTGTCTCCTAATGAAGGACCTTGAACCCGAAATGTCAAGGAGCCTGAAAACGCCAAACAGTCTGGACTGCCAAGGATTTCTGGAACCCCCGAAGCTTCTATCACCCGCACATGTTCTGCAAAGTGCCCTCAGTCACCCCCTCTGAGCCTGAGCACAGGTGTAGGAGGTGGGCGCTCCTACTGTGCCCACTTCACAGAGGATGAGGCTGAGGCAGATAGAGGTTCAGTCACTTGCCCAGGGTCACATGGCTAGCAAGCGGCAGAAGCTGGGTTCCATGCCAGGGTTTCCCAAAGGCAGGCACCACTCACTTCCTGAGCACCGCGATCCTAAAGGCCATGTGGGCGGGTCCTTCCCAGTGCCCCGCGTTGGGGGCACGACAGACTGCCACTGACGTGCTCGGCAGGCAGTCCAGGGACCTGGGTTTCCATCCTGGCTCTGCTCCATTAACTTCTCTGACCTCCACAAGCCCCTTCCCCCCCCCCCCCCGGCCTCAGTTTTCTCTTGTGTAAATGAGGGACGACGAAAGTTGCTCCTGATCTTCTTGGACAAAATCACTAACAGGGAGAGGTTTCACACAATCGATTATACCCATACAATCTACAGAGGACTGCCTACCATCTCAGGGAGGGAGCAGGGGAGGGAGAGAATTTGGAACTCAAAACTTTTTTTAAAAAGTTTAAAAAGTTGTTTTAACATGTAATTGGGGGGGGGGAATAAAATACATTAAATTTTAAAAATTACTGAGGCCCTCCCCCTGCACAAAATAAAGTCCCTCCTGCCACTGCGGGGATCCCGCCCTCTGCTCCCCCTCCGGGGCCCCTGATTTCCTGGTATCCCCCAGGGAAACCTTTGCTCTGCCCTCCTTGCCCCAGCCCCCAGCCTCTCCTGGGCCTTCAGCTCAGTGTGGCGTTAGGAGGCGGTACCCCTTCCCCAAGATGGCCCTCCCGGTTTCCCATCCCCCTTCTAGAGGCCCTGGGCATGGCAAACCTTTTCCCTACAATCCTGGGCATTTGGGTTTCTTCCCGGGGATTCCTCCAGCCCGTTTCCACTGACAACGAGGTCATATCCTGGGCTGGAGAGTGGGAAGCGAGCTTCCCCTGGACCACCAGCTTGTTTCCCAAACCCTACAGTCTCCACACCTCTGCACGGTATACTCCCTCTCAGAACCCTGACTTTCCTCCCAGCCTCCTGGAGAACTTTCCCTGCCTGTTCTCTGGTGGCTCTCTTTATGGGGCATTCCCCACCAACAGCAGCGGTCACCTCAGGCTAGGGTGCTTGGGTTCTGGCTCTGTATCCCCGGGTCTAGTTCAAGGCCTTGTGGGGAGCGGGGACAGTTTTGTGAGGTGAACGGCATTAGAACATCAAGGCCGAGGCTTTGTCTGACAGATGAAGAGCCTGGGGCCCTAGTGGGGAAGCAGTACCTGCCCCATGTCCAGCAGTGAGTGCACAGAAGGCCAGAACTCGAACCCAGATACTGAGGTTTCCTCTAGGCCCTGCCTATGCACCTCTTGGCTGCCACCTCTACAACAGAAGGGATTCCCCTAACACCAGGGGCAACCTCTCTGATCACCCAGGGTCCTGACCTGGGTCACCCTGGGGTCACCGGAACGGCTGGCCCCAGTGGCCTGGGCGCTGTGGGCATGGGCCACGTTCTGCTGGAAACGAACGGTCTTGGGCCTGGGGCCAGCCTGGTCCCCGCTGGAGTCTGTGGGAGCCCAGGAGCCTCAGGAGCAGCTGCCTCTGGGGCACATCCCAGGGAGGCCAAACCAAACACCAGCTGACATTTACACAAGGTATTAGACAAACAGTCTTTAGCGGGCAGTGCCCGCATCTCCCAGTAGCACAGAGCGCCAACAGCAGCCTTGCCTGAGGCTCCAGTGAGCTGGAGCCCCGTCACAGTCCAGGGTAGGGGCCTGGGAGACTGAGGCCCATTCCTTCATCTACCCAAGAAGGAATCCTCAGTTTGAGGTTTTACCTCAGTATGAGGCTCAGGGAGGAAGGAGCAGAGCCAGGATTAGAACCCTGGGCATCTGCCTCGGAAGCCACTATCTTTGCCTTTGGTGAACCGAGCGTCTGCGTCTGGGGAAGGGTCTCCAGACTGTGCCCCCTCAGGTGGGGGAGGGGGGGAGAAGGCAGCAGTGTGTGTGGGGGGGGTGAAAGGAGGTTAATACCTGGGGAGGGGGCAGCCAGGTATATGAGTGTATATGAGTATGCATGAATGAGTGTGTCTGTGTATGAGTGCGAGCATATATGAGTGTGTCTGTATATATGAGTGTGTGTATAAGAGCTGTGTGTGTGAGTGCATATATATGATTATCTGTGTGTATATATATGTATATGAGCATGTGCATGTGTGTATGAGTGTGTGTGGGGGGGGTGAAAGGAGGAAGTGAATACCCGGGGAGGGGGCAGTCAGGCATATGTGTGTATGAATGAGTGTGTCTGTCTGTGAGTGCATGTGTATGAGAACGTATATGAGTGTGTGTGTGTGTGTGCGTGTGAGTGCATGAGTGTTTCTGTACAGATGAGTGGGTACGTGTGTAGGGGGTATACAAGTACGTGTATGAGTGTATCTGTCTATAAATATGAGCATGTGAGTGTGAGTGTGAGGCCTCCTGGAGGCCAGGCTGGTGCGGCCACTCCCATGCCTCACCAGCCCCTCCCCATCCAGCAGGGAAGCCCAGAAAAGGCCTAATGAGATTGACCCACTTCTAGGCAAAGAGACCCACATTTACTACAAATATGTCAAACAGATGAAGTGGAAAGGAAAGAATATTGGCTTTGGAGCCAGGGGCTCTGAGTTCAAATCATGACTCTAAGAAGTGACTCCCTGGTAAGCTTGGGTCCCCTTTTTGCCTCTGCTGTGAGATGAGGCCCCTCTGGGCCCAGACGCAGTGCCCCGCCTCCTTCCGGGTGCACTCGCCAGAGCGGCGTGATGCCCCAAAGGTCGACCACGGAGTGGCCCGCGCCGCTCCCCTCGCTCAGCTCCCCAGCCTCCTGGGCCAGCCCCTTACCTCGACAGGCGGGTAGTAGTTATAGTTCCAGTACCAGAAGGTCTTGGGCAGGTAGCCCCTGATGAGGTGGTGTTCGGGCACAAAGGGGTGGAAGGTCTCCTTGCCGCTGGGGTCCCGCGAGTCTCCAGCCTCCACGCCGATGGCCTCCATGCACTTGCCGAGTGCCAGGTCCTCCACGGAGGAGCTGTGCGAACACTTGTTGGTCCTGAAGGCCTCCACAAACCTCCGCAGGGCCTCCTTGCTGAGCACGTAGCCGGCGCCCCCGCTCATGTAGCCCTGCTTCACGTAGGGCTTGAAGCGTCGCCCGAAGTAGATAGGCTTGGCAGGGTCGTGCCGGGACAGTAGCCAGCGGAGATTGTCCAGGACCACGTAGGTGTCGTCGTCGGCCTTCATGAACCAGTCGGCGTCATCCGGGTGGTGCTCGTACACGTACTGGAAGGCCTTGATGGTCTTCCAGTAGAGCTGGTCGCGGCCCTCGCGGGCGTCCAGACCCACGGTGGGGAAGTCTTTGTTCTCCTCCGAGCTCATGAACAGGATCTTATTGCAGCGCTGGCCCCACGTGGCCTTGACGTGTCTTGCCTTCTTCTCGAGGTTCTGAGGCCCCGTCATGACCCAGCAGAGAACCCTGACCTTGCGGTAGAGCTCCTCGGCCACGCTCTTGTCCTCATCTGGGGAGCAAAGACAGCGGGAGTCACGGCACAAAGCTGCTGCGCCCACCCCGCCCTGAACTACCCGACCGCGGACCACGGACGGCCCAGCTCAGGTCACAGACGTGCCCGTCATCCATGAGCAGCCCTCCCAGTTCACCACGCACAATGTCGGGCACGTGTGGGTACCGCCACGTCCCTGGAGCTCAGGGAAGGGAGCAGGGTCGGGCCCACAGAGAAGCTGGGGGGCTGCTGTCGGCAAAGTCCTGGATCCAATCTGGAACCACCTCCCCAGGGCGCCCCTGGCCTGCTCTGCCCATCCACAGTGGCCAGCATCCACACGGTGTGTGGCTCCAGCAGGACCAACCCATCGCCAAGATTGTGGGTGGTCTAGGGTGTCTGGACACGCCCAGCCCACAAAACCTGGCTCTCATCGGGGCGGATTTGTCTCTCCTACCCCAGCCGACCAGCCAGCCTCGTCCTAGATGAAGGGCCACCAGGCCCCACCTCAGGAGGTCAGTCAGTGCTCACTGATCCTGAGGAATCCAGGACACGGGATGAACCGTTCCTTCCCATTTAACCAGGCACATGAAGGAGTATGCGTTTCAGGGTTCCAAGGGCTCTCTGGCCACCCTGTGGGTCCTCTGCCTCTCCGTCCTCCCCCAACCAAGAGCCCGTCTCCACTTTAGGTAGCCTGAACCCCCAAACTTCTCATCCGGGAGAGGCCTGGCCCCAGCTTGGGGCCCCCGGGCTCTCCGAGGGCCAAGCCTCTATGGATACCCCAGAACCCTGGGTGATGCCCACAGAACAAAGGGCCCTGAGTGAGCAGAGGCATAAGGAGCAAGGCCTGGGGCCCAGGAAGAGGAAGAAGAGAGGGGCAGGGCAGGGTCAGGAGACCCAAAGTCCCAAAAGCCAGCGAATCACCTGGTTAACAGGTGCTGACTGGCAGGGGCCAGCCACCTGCCCCCTTCCCCTCAGGCTGCCACACCCTGCACGTCCCCTCACCTCTGTGCTGTACGATGTCTGCACCGAAGTCCATCTGGCCTTCGAGGTGCCCGTGGCCGGCGTCCTCCGAGTGCCTGGCGTGCGGATCATTATGGAGAATGTGAGGTTGGGTCTCGGCCGGCTTCTCCAGGAGGATGTGCAGGAGCTGATAGCAAAGGAAGAAGCCCACGACGCAGCCACACAGGAAAGGGAACAGGTTGGGGAGCAGCTTGGCGGCCATCTCCTGGGGGCGCCCCTCTGCAGGGTCGGGGGGCTCATCACCTGCACGGAAGACAGAGGCGCTCAGAGATCCAGATATCAGCGTCCTCGCCCCACCCACCACTGCTCAGGGAGGAGGCAGGCCAGCGACGGTGCAGCCAGATGGAGGGCATCAGAAGGGCCCCCCCCCGGGGCCGAGGGGGAGGGCCTCCACGGGCTCCCCTTCTTAGACATACACAGTGGAGGCTGCATAAGCAGGCAAGAAGACCACAAGCCCTCCCAGCTCATCTGACAAGTGCTGGTGGCCGTGCCCAGGAAGGAGTCTGAGGTCTGCTGCAGGCTTACAAAGCTCTGGTTGGACAAGAACTCCAGGGCATCTGAGCTCACTGGCCTCCCAGTTAACCCCCAGAGCTTGGTCCTGCAGAGAGCAGCACCAGCATGGGAGGCCCCAGAAGTGTGCACTGATAAGTCACTAATTCAGAGGAGGTACAGAAGCAAACAGCCAACCCACATTTATTAAGCACCTACTAGGTGCCAGGAAGGGTGCTAGACATTGAGATACAAAGATAAAAGGGACCATCCCCACCCTTCTAATGGGGGGGCGGGGAATGACGTGGGGTGGGGGTGTGTGTGTGTGTGTGTGTGTGTGTGTGTGTGTGTGTGTGTGTGTGTACAGACACAAAGATCAATGGAATACCAGAGAACCTGGACGACTGAGCCCAGAGACGAGAAACATGGCGGCCAACGTCCCCCTGCTCCTCCTTCACCGTGCTGCTCTCTCATGGCTGGGTGCAGGGTGGGACTGGCAAGGGGTGGATAGGCAACTCCAATGCCAGAATGAGGGCTCCCCATGGCCTTGGCCAGAGCCACTGGGGAAGCAGATGGGGCCTGCCAAAGCTGCCCTGGGCACAGTACTGGTTCAGACTGGTGACTGGTCAGAGGGGAGGGCTGGCCACCAACTGCCCCTGCCTTTCTGGATGATGTCACCAAGCTCCGGGAGGCTGAGGAATGAATGCCAGCGACGGGGACCGCTTGGATCTTCGGGATTTACCTGAGGAACCCTAGTTCTTCCTGTGTCCACGATGGAGCCCCCGGGGCCAGAGGTCCAGACCTCCAGGGTGGTCATGGGTCCAGTACACAGGGAGGGGTCTGTGGCCCCCCAACTCTGAGGTGCCTCCCGAGTCCAGGCACGGGTTGGGCTGGGTTTCCGTCTGTTTGTTTTCAGAAAACAGTGAGATCATTTTGCTGATGTTCACCAACTTCAGGAGAATGCATCACTCCTCCCTCCCCTGGAGGAAAAAGAGTTCCCGGAAATGCTTGTCTGAATTTCTCTGGCCTTTCCTCCTATCACTTCTCTACTCTGCTCACAGGAGGCCTTGAATGCCGGGAGATCGTCTCAGCAAAGCTGCTGACTTTACAGGACCACAAATGAAGGGATCTGCCCACCCAGACCCAATGCTTGTCACTCGCTAGCCCCAGGAGCCACTTGCTTTATTTTTTTTTGTTTTTGGTGAAGCAATCAGGGTTAAGTGACTTGCCCAAGGTCACACAGCTAGTATGTGTCAAGTGTTTGGTCTGAGGCCGCATTTGACCTCAGGTCCTCCTGACTTCAGGGCCGATGCTCTATCCACTGCGCCACCTAGCTGCCCCTAGCCACTCACTTTAGCAGAAACGTCTGGGGAATTCACACTGAAGGCGACTTCTTCCTGTAGTTTCACCACAGGTAAGCCTACTGGCAGCACGGCTGTTGGACCTACCGGGAGCCTTGGTTTCCACATCTGTAAAAGGGGCATCGTAATGGATGCACAAGCTGCCTGCCTCCCAGAGGGACATAGCAAGGACAGCCTTTGTCACTCTTCGGTGGAACGTCCTCATCTGTCTGTCTGCCCTTCTTTGCGTTTGTGTTATACATATGCCGGAATGCTCTGTGAATAACACTTATGCTTGTTACTATGACTATTTTTATAATACGTTATTTTCCCAATTATGTGTTAAAAACCATTTTTAACATTTTTTTAAGTGTTGAATTCCAGATTCTATCCCTCCCTCCCTAAGGCAGTAAGCAATGCGATACAGGTTACACGTGTGCAGTTACATGAAACATCCATGTTGGTTATTTTGTACAGAAAGACTAGGAATGAAGGAGGGAAGGAGGAAAATGGTACGCTTCAGTCTGGACTCAGATGCCAGCGCCTCTTCTGGAGGCGGACGGCATGCCCATGAGTCCTTCGGGACTGATCATCGTGCTGCTAAGAAGAGCTACGTCGTGCGCCTGCCGCGTGCCCCCCCACCCCCATTCTTCATGGCACAATGTGGCTGTCACTGTGTCAGTGGTCTCTGGTTCTGTTCATTTCACTTTGCATCAGTTCACGTAAGTCTTTCCAGTTGCCTTTCTGGCAGAGGATTTGAGGTCCCCTCGGGCACTGCTCTGATACCTGCAGCCCATTGGGCCTATGCTGGATCCACTCAGATCTGCAGTCTCTTCCTCGGCTGGAAGCCCAGCGACGACTCAGCTGGACAGTTTTCACCTGGGCAACTCCAGAGGTACTGCTGGTCATCTGGCAGCAGACTTGACCAGAAGCCGCTGTTCTGGCTGTCCACAGGTGGGGGACAAGCCCGTACCCAACAAGTATAATGTAGGGCAAACTGAGGGAGGAGAATTCCATTCAAGATGATGACCATGGACTGGAGATACCTAGGGATGGTCCCTCAAATGAACTTCATGAGGACGAGACGGGGAAACAGCGGCTGCTCAGGTGGCGGCGGTGGCCTCAAATGACAGAGCGCTCGAGGTGGGGCCCCCCACCCCCGGCACCTAAGACGATGGCTTCCACCCCCAGGATTCTGGACAAACAGCCCCCCCATCCCCCCCTCTGCTGGGCATGTCCTCTGCCTGCTGTCCACGTCCACATTAAACCACAGAGGCCACTGGCCACTCTCCTGGGGTGTCACACAGGGAGGGCGCTGTACCAGCATTTGCTGGACAAAACACACACACACCCAGGTCCAATCAGAGCACACCACTGGACTGGATGGGATGATCCTCCTGAAATCCAGCCTTCGGGGCTTGAGAAACACAAGTGTCACCTGCTCTGGGCAAATCTCAGACCCCACCCACCCTCTCGAACCTGTGGCCATTCTCACAGAGCACTGGGCCTGGAGGCAGGGAAGTGAGTTCAAATCTAGCCCCAGACACTTAGGAGCTGTGTCTTAGACCCTGGGCAAGTCATTTCATTTCTCCCTGCCTCAGTTTCCTCGCCCATAAAATGGGGGTGATAACAGCACCTTCCTCACAAGGTTGTTGTGAGGCTGCATTAGCCCAGTGCCTGGCACCCAGTGGGATCTCAGTAAATGTGTATTCTTTGCTTGCAGGCAGACTGCACTCAGTGCTCCCCAGACCCAACAGAAGCTCCAAGCGGGGCTCCCTGGGCTCTGCCACACCCTGGCCCTGGCTCCCGCCCTCCAAGGAGAGCAGATTGAGAGGTAAGGGAGGGTCCCCGTGGCTCCTGAACCCCAGCGCCTTCATGCCCATGTTCTCGCTGATTCCAGCCCCACTTTGGGGACAGAACCATACTTTCCCCACGGCCCTGCCGAACAGGCTGACCGGCCCAACCTGGCCTTGGTCCTCAGCCCCTGCCTCCAACCAGGCACTGGAGCCCAACCCAACCTCTTTGACATTTCCATCCAGATTCCCATCATCTCCACAAAAGGTCATCATCAGCATCACTGACTTTCCGTGTCAACTTCTCTCCTCCCCAGCCCCAGTCTCCTTGCAAAGCTGGTTGAACCGCAGAGGGCAGAAATTGTCTTAGCTTCAGTCCAGGCTAACTGGAGCCCTGTGGACTAGCCCAGCACGTCCAGTCAGAATCTGAACCCAGGGCCTTTCCCTCTAGAGCCAGGGTCAGCTAGTACCCCACCCCACTCCCACTTTGGGAATCGATCACCAACGTGCCTAAAGGGGATCCACACAGGGGCCTGAGAGAGCCCACCTCACTCTGCCCTGGGCTGCACCCCACTCAATGGCCTTGGCTGGGTGGGGGGGATGGGTCCTTTCCCAGGGCTAGGAGGTCAGCTAGGACTGAGGACACTAACGCCTTCAACACCCCATCTCGTGTTGTCGGGGCGCTCCCACAACAGCCAACACGGTGCCTGAGCGGACGAAGGCCGAGGACCTCGTGATCTGAGAACCCAAAGCAAGGGCCCTGCCGCCTCTGGGGCCTGACTCTTGGGCAGAGGCGCTGGCCGCTGCAGCCTTTCCGTCATGAGGAATGACCACGCTAAGGGGCCGCGCACAGGCTTCTGGGACGTCCTCAACATCCCACTGGTAACAGACACCCACGTGGTAAAACATCACAGCTTCAAGTCAAAATATCTCTGTCCACAGGGGGCTCCCGTCTGCCCCCAAAGGCGAGAGGCGCAGCCCGGCCCACTGGAGGCAGCGGGAAGCCTCGTGGGACCTCAGCAGGCACCGTCAGTCCAGACCCAAGGGCTGGAGCGAGGCGGTGCACGGCGAGGCCTCTCCAGGCCCTCACGGTCCGGTCCTCACCCCCTTCTGAGAATTTGTGGGATTCCCTAAAGCACAGTCCTGCGACTCAGTGACCCTGAGAGGCAGATGGAAACTGGATCAGGAAGCAAAGGGACCTCCCTGCAGGTAGGTCACTGCTCCTCTGCTCCTTATCTGTGAAATGGGTGGAGAAGGAATTGGATTACACTAGGTGCATTCCAGGGCAGGCATGGAGCCCAGCCAAAAGGAAAAGGAAGCAAACCGGGATACAACAGCGTGGCAGCCTCGGCCACCTGCCCAGGAAATGAGGTGGCCCCAGCCAACGTGAGGCCGGCACCACACCAGGCAGGCAACGGCAGGAGGACCCAGGTTCGAGGCCCGAGGCCAGGCGCAGAGCCGTGCAGCTGCTTGGGTCAAATGGGGGAAAAAGGAGGCAGTAGGCCTCCAGCCGCAGGAGGGAGGCGCCACAGACTTCGCTCACAGCGGAGCAGCCCGGGGCCCAGAAAAGGAGCAGCCAGGGGCCCAGAAGTGCCTTCGATCTGCAGCCTGGGGAAGACTGATTAGGGAGCAGCCCTCTGAGCTCTGCCTCTGGGATCAGGGAAGGAAGGGAAGGCCTGCTCGTGCTCAAGCACTGACCCACACAGAACCTCTGGGCTGTGGGTGTAGATCCTGCCTCCACCAGTTAAAGGAGTGGAGTGAGGGCTGGGCCCAACCTGGGAGGGAGGCAAACGCCCCCATGATGTCATTAAAACGGCCATTCCTATAGGCCTGGGCCTTTACACAGGCCCCCACTTACAGCTGAGGAAACTGAGGCAGGCACTTGTTAAGTGACTCACCTGAGGCCACACGACTAGGTGTAGGATGCTGGATTTGAATCCAGATCTTGACTGGAGAACCAGTGCTCTACCTAGTGGAGCCCAGGGTGGGTGGTGATGGCTTCAGTCTCTCAGTGCAGCGCATGCAGCACCAGGATAGGCCACCTCTGGTTCAGTGCCCTGGGGACTCTGGGATGTGGGGCCAGCATCCCTGTGGCCCGAGCCGGCTGGGCATCCGGTGAGCGCTGAGGTGGAAAGGCCCTTCCAGCGAAGCCCAGCCCCCTCCCCCCAACAGATAAGGAACCGGAAGCCCAGGCAAGCCCGTGGTCCCCGAGGTCATGTGTGGCAGAAGCCTCCGGCTTCACCGGCGGTCTCCTCCTAAAGGTCCAGCACCGGCAGCAGCTCCCTCCAGGGAGGGTCTGACCCCCCAGCAGCGAACTTAAGTGCGCCTCCGGCACCTTGCTCCACCCTTTCCTCTAGTTACAGCCCCCCACGGGAAGAGGAAGCCCCCCCCACAACACCAAACCTGGCACTTTTCTAGAGCTTGGCTCCAGCATAGAGGGGAGGGAGGGCAGTCTGGCCATCCCCGCCGGCCCTTCGCTCCCAGAGACCACAGGAGGGACAAAGGGTTACTCACTTCGTGGCCACGCTCGCTGAGCTTCCCGGGGGGGGGGGGGGGGGGACGCACGCAGGGCCTCGCCTGCCCCCCACCCTCTTATCTAGCAGCTGGGCACAAGCCGCAGGTCACGGCCGCTGGTCAGTCCAGCTCCAGCCCCGCCCCTCCCCAAGTCCAAGTCCAAGTCCAAGTCCAAGTCCAAGCCAGGCGGCAGGGACGGGGAGGGAGCCCCTAGGTCAGGGGTCCCGAGGCTGGCGGCTTCCTCCCCCGACCCCGCTCTGCCACGACAGGGCACGGGGCCTCAGTTTACTCCTCTGCAAAACGAGGGCTACGAGGCCGCGAAGACCCAAATGGGGGAGCCCCTCCCCCTCTGCCTTTAAAACCCGCGCGCTCCCAGAGCCCCCGACCCCGAGTCACGCCACCAGGACCCGAGTTCGAGTGCCGCTCCCCCCCGCCCCGCCCGGGTCTGTCCAGCACGCAGCGAGGGGCCTCGGATGCGGGACGCGGGACGCGGGAGGCACCTGCAGCCGCTCGGACCGCGGGCCGGAGACGGACGGCCTGGCAGCGGCCCCGCCGTACCTGAGTCCGGCTCCTGTCATCGCCCTCCACCCGGGCTGCTGCTCTCCGGCCCGACGCCAGGCAGGGTCGCTAGCCCCAGCCGCCCAAGGCCTGCCGGACCTCGCCGAGCCCGCCGGGCCGAGTCGGGCCGTGGCGGAGGGGGGCGGTGGCGCAGGCCGGCCCCGGGACCCGGGCCCCGCCTCTCCCCTCCCCCCTCCCGCCTAGGGCGCAGCCGCCGCGGCCGGCGCTCTGGGTTCTCGGAGCGGGCGCCGCGGGCCGGGCGGGGCGGGCCGGGGCGGGGCCGGCGTGACGCGGAGCTCGAGGATTGGCTGCTGGGCCTCGGAGGCGGGACCTGCGGGCCGCTAGCCGCGCTCGTTCCGCCCCTTCAGGTAGGGGCTGGGGGGAGGGGCGAACGTCACGTGCTCAGGGAGAGGCTGCGGCAGGACTCGGAGGCGGGGGAGGGGGAGGGGGGGGTCCGCGGCGGGAAGGGGGCGGGGCTCCCAGGCTCCGGCCGGATCGGGGGCGCCTGTGCGCCTGCGCCTGAGCGACGGCCGGGGCAACTTTGTATCTACCGGGGCCGCTTGGCTACATTTCACTGAAGGAACCCGCTCGGCCCCGCCCTTTGGAGGGCGCTCGCCTACCGTGGGGCTGAAAGCAGCGCCGAGAGGCCTGGCCCACCCACGAAGCCCCAGGAAGCTCAGGTAGTGCCAGCCCCGTGCCCAGGCCGCAGGAAGGAGCGGGATCCACCAAAGGATGCCTCCCTGGAGACCCCAGATCTAGAGACCCTGGGTCTGCCCATCGGGGGCTTCCTTTCCATCAGCAGTGGGCCGGTGTGCTGGACCAAACATCGAGATTCACTAAGATAGAAAGGAGGTGCTCAAGCTAAAAGTGTTCTTACTCTGTTGAATTCCACAAGCCCATATTAAGCACCCACCGTAATGGAGGCACTATGCCACCAGCTGGGGACACAGAGACAAAAGCCCAGCCCCCAGGAACCTTACATTCTTCTGGGGGTGCAGGGACAGAGTACTAGCAATCACCTTTCTGGAGATGATGACGAGGACTTCCCAAGGTAGGTGGCACCTGAGCCTAGCCTCATTTCATTGAAGGGGAAATAAGAAGAAACCAGTTAACAGAGACAGCGGAGGAGTTCCTGCTTGAAGCCTCCTGGACATTGTTGTTGTTCAGTTGTTTTCAGTGGTGCTGCATGACCCTCACTGGGGTTTTCTTGGCAAAGATACTGAAGTGGTTTGTCATTTCCTTTTCCAACTCATTTTACGGATGAGGAAACTGAAGCAAACAGGGTGAAGTCACTTGCCCTGGGTCACGTAGTAAGTGTCTGAGGCTGGATTGGAACTCAAGAAAAGGAGTCTTTCTGACTTCAGGCCTGGCACTCTATCTACTGCACCACCTAGCTGCAAAATCTGGACTTCAGATACCAGTCCTGTGACAGCAGGGGATATGTACCACTATACTAATGAGGACAGCGACGTCAGGTCATAGGGCAGGGATTTGTCCTTTGGGGTCACCTGGACAGCTGATTTTTTCTGACTTTCATGGAACTTTGCCCATGCAGTTAGAGCAGCTTTACTGGGCAAGTGAAGTTGACCAGGAGGTTTTCACATTTTCAGTCTCCTAAGGTACATAATTACAATGTGTTCCATTTTAGTTTCCTGAATTAATTGGTCACTGTGGCTCTAGCAATTACAGTGAGAAACCCAAATTCATCCAGTGCTTTTGGTCTGACAGGAATTGCTCAAACTAGAGCCAAACACCCACTCCAGCAGAAAAGTCAGTGTTCTAAGTTCCCCAACTTGTGGGCTGAGACTGCCTGTCACAATCTCAAAGGCCCGCCTTACTGTGCCGTGCAATGCCATAGGACTGAGATGGAGCAGCTTGATGGCATAGCTATGATGAAGGCCTCCCTGGGAGATCTCCTCACTCCACAGCCATTGACAAGGAACCTGTCTTCTCCCCCATCCCCACCCCCAACCCCAGCATAAATCCAAGGTTCTAGGGCTATTCAGAGAGAACTATGAAGAGCCCTGGGGAATGTAGGATGGCTGGATAATACTATTCAGTTCTCTGTCTAGAGCTCTGATGCTTCCCTGTGTTTATCAACCAGAGGAATCTTGATTTTATAGAATTTCAGAACCTCAGAGGCATCTAGGCCAATACATATCTGATCAGGAATCCCGCCTACAGCATCCTGGGACAGCAACCATCTAGTCTCTGCATTGTACCTCCCTGCCCTCTAGTTGACTTCCACCCCAGGCAGTCTATTCCCAGAAGGAAGGAAGGAAATAAATAAGCAATTATTTAGTGCCTAATGTGTGCCAAAGCCCACAGACTTGGGAGGTAGGTGCTATTATTATTATTATTCCCATTTTCTGGTTGAGGAAACTGAGGCAGACAAAGGTGAAGTGACTTGCCTAGGGTCAGCCCACTAGTAAGTGTTAGGGTTCCATGAATGGTGGCAAAGGCATGGAGGCTGGAGAAGGGATTCCAAATTCAGGCAAGAACTGCTGGGACAGTGGCTAGAACCTGGACAGTCACCTCTTAGGACTTTGCTTTCTAGTTTTGGTATTTCTTCTCTCTATTCCAAATGGAGGTTTCTTGTTCAGTCATTTTCAGTTGTGTCCAATTCTTTGTGACCTCATTTGGGATTTTTGGGCAGAGATACTGGTTTGCCATTTCCTTCTCCAGCTCATTTGACAGACGAGGAAACTGAGGTAAACATGGTTAGGTGAGTTGCCCAGGGTCACACAGCTAGCAAGTAAGCCTCTGAGGCCAGATTTGAACTCAGGAAAATAAGTTTCTCTCACCTTTCAGGCCCTGTGCTCTATCCATTGGGCTACCTAGCAGTCCCAAATGGAGAGTACCATTAGTCTCAGGGAGACAAGGTGTTTTGTTTTGTCTTACCAGTAGTCTATTTAACCATACCACTTCCATCTTGTACTTGTGAGGTTGATATTTTGAGCCATAGTTTACATTTGTCCCATTAAATTTCACCCTATTTAGTCTGGACCAACAGTCTAGCCCAGGGTTCAGAAAACCATGACCTGGGCAGCTCACCACCTGTTTTTATAAGACTGGCTAACCAATAGTGGTCTTTACGTTTTTTAAACATTGTTTTATTGTATTTTAAAATGCAAAACTCTTCCTTCAAGGGACAGGTGGTACAAAAATAGGTAGGTAGGAGCTAGATTTGACTCAGGAATCCTGCCTTTGCCCACTAGGCGTTTGCTTTGGGTCATCTGCAAAGTTGATAGGGTCCAAGTCTGCCTTTATCTAAGCCACTGTAAAAATGTTTAACAGTTTGGGGCTAAACCCAGATCTCTGGGGCTCTTGGCTATCAACCTAGATGTGAGCTGACCTGAAAGTGCCTGCTCCTCGGTTTGACCGTTTGGACTATTCTGCACTCTCCGAACCATAGGACTGCCCTGGGGTGGGCCCCATGTGGCCCTCTAGATCCTCAAGTGTGACCCTTTGACTGAATCCAAACTTCACAGGATAAATCCCCTTAATAAAAGGATTTGTTCTGTAAAACTTGGACTCAGTCAGAAGGCTGCACCCAAGGACCTGGAAGGCCACATGTGGCCTCGAGGCCACAGGTTCCCCACCCCAAAGGGCCATTCCTTTCTGTGTTTCCCACAAAAAGAGCAGGGAACATTGGTAGGTGGTTTGCTGAAAGGGATGCAAACTGGCCTGCCCACACTTTCCTCTGCCACCAGTTTCATGGCTGTCGGAACAGGAGTTAAGGCTGGTCAGTCAGCAGCTGGATATGAGGGGGCCAGGCTGGCTCTGTCATTAGCCTTCCCTTTCTAGATTCTGGTCACTACCCATCCCTTTCATGACTGGCTCTGGAAATCGGCAAGCGATCCACACGTGGCTCCTGTAGGTTGACCCCAGTCTTCTCCCTTTTGGAAACCAAGGTGCCATCTGCCCTTCTTTGGGCCTGTGGCTCCTTGCCCATCTTCCACGGTCTTTCTAATAGGGCTCTCTAGCCATCTCGTTACCTGTCGCATTCTGATATCTTTTCTTCTCCCTCTGATGCGTTTGGTGCCCCCTTTCAGCATCGTGGCATCTTCGCCAGGTGCTCATCATCAGGTGATTCATGAGCAGTGCCCAGATAAAGATCAGAAACAGAGGAGGGGAGCAGTGTGCCTGGAAGGAGCGTTCCACCGATTAATGCTGGAGAGGAAATGTTTTTGCTTTATTATCCTGCTCTCCCTAATTCTGCTTACACAGTCATGCCTGGGGGTGGAGGTGAATGAGGAAGGGAAAGGGAAAAGACCCCAGAAGGTATGGAGCCATCTTCCGTGGTTCTCACTTCCAGAATCCTGGGATTGTAGAAAATGCCTTTCCCTGAAGTGGGTGTGGTGATTGCTCCTGGTTTCCCATTAGGGATACCTGCCAGAAGGAAATGTCCTTGCCCAAGGTGAGCTGGGGAAATGATCTTTGAGAAACAAACCAAACAACCAGGAACGCTTCTGGTGGGCAGAGTTTGGCAAGACTTTCAGGGTGTTTGGAAAGTGGGTGGGTAAGTCTGTGGTGCTTGCCAGAGTTCAGTGGGAGAAGGGGGAGAGAGAGGCTGGGCAGTGCTTACCACCCAAACCCCAAGTACTCACCAGGACTCAGAGTAGGCGCTGGGGCAGAGGTAGGGGCTGGGGCAGGGGCTGGGGCAGGGGCTGGGGCAAGGGCTGGGGCAGGGCTGGGTTTGGGGCAAGGGCTGGGGCAGGGGCTGGGTTTGGGGCTGGGGCTGCTGCCTAGCAGGGCAGTGAAGAAGCCTTGGCATCAGAACCAGGCTGGTTTTCCCTCCATGGGATCTCCCTTGTCACTGGGGACCCAGTACTCACTTAGGGCCAGAATGAGAATTACAATTTTTCTCTCTGGTTCAACTGTTTTCCCTGACAACCTGGCCAAAGCAGAAAACATTTTCAGATGGAGAAGGAAGACTTCTACTTTGTTTTCAGAGTTCAGGCGGGGAATGGTTTCTGGATCTATAAGAGGCCTGGCCAGCGGTGAATAAAGAAGTGTCCAGCCGGCCTGGTAAGCAAAAGCGCCTCACCATTGCCCACTTATCCTGCAGGTTTTCTTTGTGAGGGCAGGGATGAGGAAGGGTTTTACAATTCCACAATCAATCTCAGTGGGCAAAGGCAAGAATGTTCCCTGTCCTTTCAGAAGGGAAAATAGAACCTGAGCTCTTCTCTGAAGGACTAGAGGGAGATTGGGGAATTGGGGTTCAATAAGCGAGGGCAAAGCAGCTTTTCTCTGCCAAAGGACGGGGAATTGGCATGAGCAAGGGCAGGACTTCTTTCTTTGACTGTCCCAAGAGGGGCTCGGAGCTGGGGTAGTTGGACTGTGTATGTCGTCTATATAACTGTCTCCTGAACCATCAGCTCAGGGACAAGGGAGATTAATTCTGTTTTCTAAAATCCAAGAGACAGAGTTACTTCTTGGCTGGAGGCTACTTCCCAAGGCAGAAAGAGGAGGCTCAGGTCCCGCCTCAGATCCATTAGTGAGGTTGCTTAACCCGTGGCTTTTCTCAAAGACTGAGTTATAGAGAAGGGGGTGACTGGCAGGGCTCGAGGGAGCTTCTGCACGTAGGCTTTCCCTAGGGAACCCCTGAAGTCCTGGCCTCCTTTCCTCCTCTCGATTCTGAGGATGTTCTTCGAGGAGACCCAAGGTTATTGTTGGGGAGGAATAGAGGATGGGAAGATTCAGGAGGAAGAAGGAGGATGGTACCCTGCCACATCTAAGATTCAGTGGAGGGACTGCTGGAAGGGAGAGGCGCGCGTGCATGCACATGCACACACGTACACGCACACACATGCACGCATGTACACACGCATGCACGCACATATACACACGTACACACATGCATGCATATGCACGCACATACACACATGCACACACCCTGTGTTTTGGGGGGTGGTGAGTGCAGCGGGATTCCCTCTAGGTCGCCCCTCAGACAATGGGCCTGACTGTCAAGGTCCACAAGGGGCATGAAGAGTTGGACACAATAGAATGACTGGACCATAATAACCCCTATAGACAGCATGGAGTTAGAAAGAGACCTCTTGGAACCATTTTCTCCTAGCCCCCTGAGAGACTCCTAGAAGCTGCTGGCTGGCCCAGTGAGCCACCCTACCTGAGGCAGTGGGGTTCGAGGGAGAGACCTGAAGCAGCAGGTACCAAGCAGGTCCACCCCCACCCCGACCAGGACTCTCATCTGCCCTGAGACCCTGACAGAGACAGCGCAGGGCCCTGAGCCTTGGGCAGAGTCAGGCTGCCAGCCCAGGGCCCTCAGCATCCTCCCAGGAAGTGCCCCCACGGCTCCTGCAGGGGCTGCAGCCACACCTGCGGAAGACCCAGGAAGGCTAGTTCTGGCCACCAGAGTCCTTGGCCGGGGTGTCAAATGGCTCATCATCAGACACTGATAGGATTTCATCGGCTGACTGCAACCTCTCCATGTGGCTCATAGCTGAAACCTATGATCTGCATGGTGTCCGCCATTAGGAGTGAGCTTCTGGAAAACAAGGAGGGTGGGACTTGTCTGCTTGTACCCTGGTGCTTTGCATACAGTGAGTGCGTGATAAATTCTTTTTTTTCATTCTTTCAAAGGAAGGGGCTGTGGGAACTGGGTGCACAAACAAGGCTTAAAAAGCCCCTCTCCCCATCAGGGGCCTTCCCCTCCCCTCCCCTTCCCCCAGCAGAGACCTCCCCTCCCCCGCCTCAGGAGAGGCCCTCCCCCTCCCCCTCCCCCTCTCCCTCTCCATCTCCATTTCCCTCTCCCCCCTCCCCTCCCATCCCCCACTCCCCTTCCACAGAAGTGAAAAGAAGGGCCATTCACCAGCATCTTTCTCTTCTCCACTTCTCTTCAATTCAAAACCCCTTGGTGCTGATGCAGTTTAGGGGTGTAGGGACCCCAAAATATCAAGGTACAGGGCAGAGTTGTCTGGAAAGAATTCACAGATTCAAGCAGTCTTCCAGTCAGGTGGCAAAAAGTTGCTTATAAGGCTAATAAAGGCAGGGCCATGCTAGAGCTTAGACAGAAAAGAGAGTGAATTGTGTGGCAAGTATGTTGATTGGTGGGGGGGTGGAGAACAAACAGTCTCTGTCCCTTGGGCACAGGCAGCATTTACTACTGGGATGGCCTGGGTGGGGGGTCTTCTGAGGGGTCTGCATGTCTCTGTCTGTAACAAGATAGCCTTGGGAGTTGAAGTGACGTCTGGATTGCATACAGCAACTGTGGGAGTCAGTTATCAGTACAAGACCGTCCTCTTCATACCAGGGAGATTCTCCCGAGGTCAGCTTGTTCCTGAGAAGGGGAGAGAGTTTGCCTCACTGGGTCCTCTCAGGAGTTATTGCAGACATAGGGTCTTTGGACTGTGGTCCAAGCCCCCCATCAGTGCCTTTCTCCATTTTCTCCTCCTTTATAAATTCTAGCGTCTGATGAAGAGAGGTGGCCCTTCTTCGTGTCGACATCCAGGTTGGGCCATCTGCCCAGGCCCCCAGGCATCCTCTCTGTATCGGCTTCCATTCCTCCCCAAGTACCAGCTGCTTCCCTGCTCTTCACAAGCAAGGCCAAGTCTCCCTGAAAGGCACTCGTTAGATGCTACCATCCCCTCAAGCCCTTGACCTGGCTAGAGTCTCACATCCATCGAGGTCCAGCTTCTAGGAAAAGTGGCCACACTTGTCACCTCTACTCTCTCTCCTCTGACTCATTGCTTAGCCCTTTAGAGTCTGGCTTCTGACCTCATTTCTTGACCACCCTCTCCAACATTATCAGTGATCTTTTAATCACCAAAGGTGATGGTCTTTTTCTCGGTCTCCATCCTTCTTGACCTCTGTGAAATGTTTGACCTTCTCTCAAGTCCTGGTTCTCTTCCCACCTGGCTGCCTCGTACTTTCCAGCTGAGTCAAGGTTCCTATCCTGCCCCCCTCCTCTTGATTATTCTCCCAGGGCTCGGTCCTGAGCCATCTTCTCTCTCGGTGATTCTATTACCATCTCTCAGCTGAGGATGCCCAAATCCCAACTCCCATCTAGGCTCTCTTCTGGGTCCAGCCCCACTTCCCCCACTCCCTACAGGACCTTTCAAATGGGCTGTACCCCAAACATCTCAAACCTAACATGTTCCAAACAGGACTCATTATCTTTTCTCCCCAACCAGATCGTCTTCTGGATTTCTCTCTTACTGTCAAAGATCAAGGGTCCTGCCCTCTTGGGTCTCCCAGGTTTGCAGGCTCATTCTCGTTCTTCCCTCCTCACTGGCTCTCCTTGATATGTCAAGGCAGTAGCTGAATGGTCACCATTCTTACCTCCGTAACATCCTCTTCTCTCCATTCACATAAGAGCAAACATTTTCGAGTGCTTTAAGATTTGCAAAGTGTCATACAAGTGTTATGTCATTCAGTCCTCACGACAACCCCTTTTACAGATGAGGAAACTGAAGCAAACGGGGGTAAAGTGACTTTCCCAGGGTCACACGGCTAGTAAGTGTCTGGGGCTGAATTTGAACTCAGGTCTTCCTGACCAACCTACCTTCTATCCCCTGTGCAACATCTCAGTTCAGCCTGCTACCTTTCCCCTGGACTATTGTAACAGCCTCCCTGCTGATCCCACTGCGCTGTCTCTTTCCTCCCCACCCCATCCTCTCCATAGCCGCTAGAGGAACTTGCCTAAAGGTCAGGTTCCCTGTCAGTAGACTCCAGGGGCTCCCAAGTGCCTCTAGACTCAGATAAAGCTTCCCGTTAGACCATTAGTCTTCCACACCTGGTCCTAGCTGACCTTTCCAGCCTTGTTACACATTCATTTCCTTTCTCTAATTTCAGCTGCCTTTACTCTCTCTCCTCCCCTCCCCCCTGTCTGTCCTCCCCAGAGGATCCTTGGTCCTGGGCTCCATGATGGAATCTCCAGCTTCTTCCCAAGTTAATCTCAAGATTCACCTTCTACCCGAGGGCTTTTCAATTCCCCGCCTTTAAATTACCCCATATTTCTGTCATCTCTCTTCGATTTCTGTGTCCCTGTGTCCACGTTGTCTCCGCCAGCTGAATGTAAGCCTTGAGGGCAAGGACAGTTTCCCTTTGGCCAGGAAGAGCAGTATGCTGCCAGCCCCTGAGCACAGGTAAGTGTTCTTTCAACCAGCTCATTTACCCTGGGTTTCTACTCGCTCTTAGGCACTTAGAACCCAAGATTCTTTCTCTTAGAGAAAACAGAAGTCAAGAAGGGTCGAAGGCACAGAACCTCCTTTCCGCGTTCTTCTGTGGAAGCAGACCCTCTACCCCAGCACCGCTCTCCTTTCCCCCATGTTGGCTGGAGCAGGTCTACGCTGTCAGACACCAGCCTCCTGCCTCCACCACTCACTGGCTGGGCCCCTGAGGCAAGTCACTGGACCCTGTTCAAAGGGGGCCATGCTGCTGGCCTAGACAGACTTCAGACTGGCTTCAGTCACATAACGTTTGTAAAGCAATAGATGAATCCTAAATGTCTAACACGCTGTAGAAACGTTGATTACTTGTGTACCGAGGAGTTATGATGATGATTATTAATAGTGGTGGAGGTGGGTGCCTAACCCTCATCCTAACCCCATCTGAAGCCCCCAGGCAGCCGGCCCAGGCTGAGGCCCCGCATGGTCAGCACCCACGTATGGGACAGCTCCTGAGCCCCACTGAGATTTTACTAAGCCACCCGGAAAGGACACTGTTTAGTCAAAGCCAAGATCTTCATTGAATGAAACACCATAACAAATTTAGTGACAGGAATATTTCCCCATAACCGTAGGGTTTCCCCACCTCACCACGGGGGTGGGGGGCAGGTGTGCCCAAGAAAGCCCATGGAGGGGCTTGTCTAGAGCCAGGGAACATCTGGCCAGGGCAGCTCACACCTCAGTGGTGACTCTGGGGACCCTGGTGATGTCATCGCTGTCCATAGATGGCTCTCTGCTGCCATCTGCTGGGCCTCAGTCACACCCCCCCGCCCCAATCTCCTGTTCTTGGCTACCATTTGCTGGGAGCAGTAAGCCTTTCTAGAAAACGGTGGGTTTGTGTGAGGGTTGAGTGTGTATGTGTGTGTGTGTGTGTGTGTATGCTGGAGCCAGCTCTGGAACCAATTGTTACATTTCCAGTGTGAACAGTGTGAATAAATCTACAAATGCTTCAAATTAGACTTAACTTATTGTTTGGGTGATTGTCTAGACTGAACAAAGTGATGGAGATAATGAAAATAATGCAGATAAAACTGAAAAGAATGCCTTGTGTACATTTTTTTTTTCTTGAAGAGCTAGTTGTTAAGCATTTGCCAGCATACCCCTGGATTCCAGGTTCTTTTTTCTTAAACAAATTTTTATTGGTTTCTTACATTTTTATACCACCTACAATCTGCCATGGGTCCCTCTTCCTGACTCTCTCAGCCATTCCATAAAACAGATTTTTCAAGAAAAAAGCAAAGCAGAGGAGGAGAAAAAGCAGGAAGCCTGCCAGATGGCTCTCGGCTCCCCAGAAGAGTGGGAGAGGGACCTCCTCCCCTCCCTTGGCGCTGAGCTTTCTGCTTTCCTTGGGTGGTTTTGTGATTGTTGTGGTCACTGGGTTGACTGGTTCCTTGGCTGTCCTTACTTCATTTTGCATCAGTTCATGTAAATCTTTACACATGTTTTACCGCACAGTAATATTCCACTTATTCAGTGTCAGTCAGTCAAATAAACATTTATTAAGCACCTACTGTGTGCCAAGTACGGGTGCTAAGTGCTAGGAATCCAAAGAAAGACAAAAGCCAGTCCCTGCCCTCGGGGAGCTCCCATTCCACCCGGAGACAACAAACAAAGTAGCCCCTTGGCAAAGCTCTATCTACAGAGCCCACAGGCAATATCAATGGAGGAAAGTCCTCGGATTTCCAGCGATCAGCCAAGGCTTCCCGTGGAAGGGGTGATTTTAGCCTCCCTCCTTCTGACCCTCTCCTCGCCTCCTGTTTCCCTTCCGCCTCCTTGGCTCCCTGTTCTCTGGACCCCAAGAGCACATTGCCTTGAGTTCCATCACAAGAGGAAAGGAAACATGTGAACTCAGAAATAATGCAGCCCATAAAGAGACTGGTTATGGAACAGTGCTCAAGGCCGTGAATCAAACTTGGGAACAGCCTCAGCAAAGCTCTGGTGCAAGGTTTCCTGAATGTCCGGCAAGCTCATTCTAGTTTCCGTGGAGATGACCATGGCCTGGGAGGAAAAGAGGAAGAGACAGAGAATGGAGGGATAGAAACTAGACGTGGAAAAGCTTGGTGGAAGTAGGACCCCAATGCCTCCTGCTCTCAGCCAAGGAAGATGGCGGGGGGGGGGCTCCCAGGTGACAGCATGAAACTCTGGGTACATTTGAGAGAAAGGCCAGAAGGGCGGAGCAGCCACAGGAGCTCTCCCGGGACGGGCTGTTGTCATTGTAGACCAGCTAGGAGAGGGGAGAATGGGGAAAATCCTTAGAAACATAAGGGGGGAAAAGAACAATTGTGATTGTTTACATTCTGCATTTCTTTCACAATATTATAATTAAAACAATGACTGCCATTTATCTGGCATTTTAAAGTAAGGACAGGAAAGTGACTCTATTTCTCAGGTGAATCCGTGTGGAAGATAAAGAGGTAGTCAGAAATTCAG